TTGTCGTGCCCGGGGGAGGTCACGCTGCTAGCGCTCCTGAAGTCGTGTCCCTCCTTAATTGAAAAACCAAAATCTTTTGTCGGTGGCTGCGCTTTTCGAAGGCTGCATAAGCGGTAACGGCCTGGGTTAGAAACGGTCGGGAGCTGTCGCGCCCCGCGGCTACCCAGGGTTTGGAAAACGCCTCTTGTTAGGTAAGGGGCAAGACGTTTGAGCCGGAGCTTTCAGGGGCTTCGCTAGTCATTCTTCCAGCGTTAAACTCGGTGTTTGTGGCTGGGATTAAAGGGAAAAGCTGACAGAGGAACAAAACCGTCTTCCGCTGGGGTTTTGGGGAAAGTATGCAGTCACGGGAGGGGAAAAAAAGCTGGCAGCCGTTTAAAAAAATACGGCTCAACTCTGGAGGCGTGTGACGGATGGGAATGCGAAGAGCGTGGCGATGCTGTCATGGGTCGTATGCTTCAGGCCGAGCAAGGGATTTGTCAGTTGTCTTACAAAGGGTTTTAAGTGCAAAAGTCTGAAAGATGGTTGTGTTGCAGCGTAAAACCTGTGCTAAGACAACAGCCTGCCTTTTCCACTGCTTTGGTGTTGTATGTCATTACGGCGTAGTGATTTCAGGCCTCCATGTTCAGATATCTTGCGGTTTTTACTCATGTGCCTGCTGCGCTGTACTTAAAAAATATATTAACGATCGATGGAATAAAACGATGATCAGACTTCTTGTCTCAGCTGCACTGGTGACTTGCGACTCTTCGGAACCCAGCTCTTGAAGACACCTCGGTACGTGGGCTTCGTGCGCTGGCCAGGCTCTTCCAGGGCTAAAGTAGACTGAAAAAAGGCAGTCGCGTGTGCTCAGGTTTGTGGCACAGATCCAATCCGGTGCAGGTAGGTAAAACCTACTTGAATTTTAGAAAATATATCGCCTGAAACTTTTTTTTATTATTCCTTCGGGTGTTAATGTCACTTTCTCTCTCGCTCAGAACTGTTGGAGGTCATTTTTTTTGCATGTGGCTTGTGACTTACAAAATAAAATAACCCCTCCCAGCAGAGGCTCCACACAGATACCGGCTCGTGGTGTTGATGCAGTACTGTGTAAAATGCTCGTTAGATTTGGATGTAAATGGAAATTTCTGAGGTTCGGCTTGTGTACTTACAGTACTGCACTCCCCGACCACAACCCCCACGTACCTAATTTGGGATAGTTACTTAAGAGGAACTACTGTTTTTTGGTGGGGCAAAATGGGAATGCAGAGGGATTTCAGTTCAAACAAGCCAGCTGGTTTAAAACCACATGAAGTCAGGTCGGAGAGACCTTTGGAACAGCCTCGTCCTGCCAACTGAAAGAAATCGTTCCACGTTTATAAATAGAGTCTGCTCGACCTGAGGTTTTGTTCCCTTCGAAAGCTTTTCCCCAGCGAAGGCTCGGCAGGGCCGTCGTCTTGAGGTTATTCAACACCCGCTTGAAATGGGAAACCATGATCTCCCTAAGCTGGGATGGTTGTGCTGGAAGTGAAAAGCTGGTAAAACCAGTTTTCTGCCTGTGGGTTGCGCAGGCGAGGAAGGGTTGTCCCCTCCTCCTCTGCTCCCCAGCCACGTGATATTTAATTAAAATCTAAAAAAATGATTTTTGTCCAGCAGTTTCTAATCTACAAGTAAAAGCAGAAGACGACAAATGTGGGAGGTAACACCTCGGGGTGGAGGCAGGCAGCCTGTTCGAAGACTGGAGATCGTACAGGGCATTAGAAGTCATGCTGTGACCAGCAGTTTTGGCTGCAGGGTCTTTGCAGTGACAGCCCTCCGGTGAGGCTTTTGGGTGTTAATAGAAACAGCCAAAAAGCTGTCTGTAAGGGCTGGTAGTTATTTTGCAATTAGGAACAGCGATACTATCTTCCTGCCTCGTTGGGGCAGTTCTTTTGGTTTCATAGCTGTAACGTTTTTACTGATGACTTGTAGGCCTGTGCATGCGCGTTCCTCATCGGCGTGTGGAACTGTGGAAGCGGGAGTAGAGGTGATGAACTCCCGCCAGGAGCTAACCGCATCTGAGCGGGTTACGGTCGGGGAGGGGGGGTGGTTCTGGCACTTCACAGGTGCAGTGCGGGATGGGGATGGGGACGGGGCCTCTCGGCGGTGGGGTTTGTGCGTGGCCAGGGATGGGAGGTGTAGTTTGGCCGCTGTCTAGGCCCGCAGCCCCCTTTAGCCCTTGTTGCTGCAGGAGAGGCGCGTGCAGAATGCCGTAGCGCTCGGGTGTGCTTTACTTGCGTTTATTGCACGGAAAGGGCACGTTGCCACACTTCTGGAGTCGCAAGAAATAGCGGTTTCGTTGCAAAACGTTCTGGTTTTGCGGTTT